ATCCATTCCTTTCTTTTTTAATCGCGTCGGTATAGGAGACTTAAATATTTCTTTTAGTGACCAGTATTTTCTCCAAGCACTTTTTATTCTGCGGTCGACTTCATTTTCAGTTTGGTTTGAAAAACAAATGTTCTGCCGAAGATAGTCAGTTGTCTACATACTCTATCAATGTATTTTGCACTTTCATAGGCACTCTAACACTGTTAGTTAGGAGACTCGTTTTTTCAGTATTCATATGGAGTCCACACTTTCGACTCTCTATATCTAGAGATATCAGCATGTGTTCTAGTTCAGCATGACTTTCACTGATAAGGATAACGTCGTCAGTGAATCGTAGGTGGCTTAAATACTCTCCATTTATTTTTATGCCAATATTATGCCAATTAAGTTGTCTAAAAATATGTTCTAAAATTGCGTTAAATAAATACGGCGAGATAGGATCCCCTTGTCACACTTCTTTCTGAATATTAAATGGTGTTCCTTTTCTCTCTAATTTAACCACAGCCTTGCTCTGTTTGTATATTTCCTTCAGAACTTTGATATATTTAATATGTACTCCTTGTTCTTGGAGCGTCAGCCACAGGTATGTATGATATATAGAGTCAAATGCTTTTGAATAGTCTACAAAAGCGATGTAGAGTTTTTTGTTGTATTCATTATATCCTTCAATAATTTGTGTGACAGTGAATATGTGGTCATTTGTAGAAAAGCCTGCTCTAAACCCTACTTGTTCTCTGGGCTGACTTTCTTCTAAAGTTTTTAAGATTCTTTTTAGTAACAAGCTGGTAAATAATTTATATATTGTCTGAAGTAAGCTTATTGGCCTATAATTACCCATATCTGATGGATCTCCCTTTTTGTAGAGAAGAGTAATTATAGCAGTTTGCCAGTCAGAGGGTATCTATCAATTCTTTTGCAAGGATTGAATTGATGGAATTTCTTTTAATTGAACACAATTGTTAAGATAGGTGTAAGGGGCTCTTTGATCGCTTTTAGTATGTCATTGGTAATTCGGTCTTCTCCGGGACTTTTTAGTGTTTTTAGTTGTTGTATAACATAGCTTATTTCACATTCTAAAAATTGCGGAACGTTTTCGTAGTCTGGTAGGTCTAATTCTTGAGTTTCTTTTTTATAAGACATACGGCATTCATACAATGATGTATAGTATTTTGTAGCTATTTCTAATATTTGGTTTCTATTAGTTATTTGAGAACTATGTTTTGTTAATTGTGTAATCCAAGTTTTGTTAGAGTCTAACCTTTTATAAGCTCTTTTAACTGACGCTCTCTTTTCCTGTTCTTCTTCAATGATTTTATATCGATGCTCTTTTCGACTATTATGTATTTGTTTTTTAATGAGTTTGTATAAGGCTGAAAGTTGTTTCTTTTCAAAGATTGTTTTATTTTTCTTTTCTTTTAGTAGTGTTCTTTCTTTTATAAGTCTAGCAATATTTTCCTGAATTGTTAGAGTATTTTTACATCTCTTTGGAAGATTATTGTTGCAGTCTTTGATTTTCGTTACTAAAGTGGTATATGTTTGTTCAATGTTTGTAAATTGTACTTGTTTAACGTTATCTCTGAATAAAAAATTTAGATATTCTTTTTCTGTAGCTGTTAAACCGGTAGTGGATCTCTTTCCAAAGTGTTTTCTTGATGAAATTAGTTTATAATTAAGTAGTATCGATGCTCTAACTAATCTGTGATCGGTAGGGTGTGTTGTTGATATCATTTCAATGTTGTGGATGCTTGTTTTATTTCGTGCTAGGATGTAATCAATTTCATTTCGTGATACGCCATTTGGGTGTATCCAAGTCCATCTACGATTTGGTTTCTTCTTAAAGTATGTGTTTGTTATATGTAATTTATTCTCGAAACAAAAATTTATGAGTGTGTTGCCTCTTGGACTTCTTTTACCGTATCCCCATGGGCCCATAATTGACTTGTCATCAGTTGTTGGCCTGCCAATCTGTGCATTGAAGTCCCCAACAACCAGTGTGTCTCTATTAGTGTTATTTATTGCTTTTTGGAGATCCTTGTAGAATCTATCTAGGTCTTCTAATGATGATTGTTCCGTAGGTGCATACACCTGTATTATATTAAATGTTTTGCATTCAAAATTTAGCTCTAATCTAGCAACTCTGTCTGATATTGGTATAAAATCTTTAATATTCATTTTTAATTCTTTTTTAATTAGAAATCCAACACCATTTCTGTTTTGTTTTTGATCGTAATACATAAAAATATAATCTTTGTATTCTTTAATTTCTTTTCCTTCTAGTTTCGTTTCAGGAAGTCCTATAATATGCCAATTTATTTCAGAAATAGCATGTTCCAGTTCGATAAATCTTGACACATTTATAAGTGATCTCACGTTTAACGTAGCTATATATAGGTAGTTGTCTTTTTTGATAACAGTTTCTTTATGTTTACATATGGAGGGTTTTGGTCGATTACTCCCACGGGGACCAGCCGTGTTGGGAGAGTAAATGTAAGTTTTGTTAATGGTAATTGATTTAGGAGGAGGGACAGGTGGTTGCTACTGTTTGTTTTGAATTTCGTACCGAGAACCGTGAATTTCGTACTGATAACTTGTAGAAGAAGCGGGAGGAGAGTCTAGTTCAGTTTCTTTTGATAAAAAATATTTTCTCATATCGACTTAACTCTTCTTAAAAGTTCGATGCACGTGTGAGTTTTGTTGTATTGCGATAGTGTTGGTGGCTTCAGGTGATTTAGATGGTTTTCTTTTTTGATATATTAAACTGTCTTTATTCGTACCTAAGTAGACTATTTTGTCGCGTCTTAGCACAGCATTTTTACCCTGACTTCTCGCCATGTCCACTTCTTTCTGGAGCTCTTTTCGTATTTTCAGTACATGTAGTATAAAATCTTCTTTAATATAGTAGTTAGTACAGTCTAATTGCTTTTTTATTTTTAAAATTTTTATTTTAAGGCTTAATTTACAAAAAGTAATTTTAATTGGTCTAGGTTTTTCTCTCTTCTTACCTAGTCTTAAGGCTGATTCTATATCTTGTAAGGTACTATTTGCGTTCAAGTGTTCATTTAAAAAATTAATAATATTATTTTCTAAATCTTCATAACATTTTTCGTTTTCCTCTAGCCCAAATAAAATGTTTTTCATCTTATTTGTTTTTCTATCTTTTCTAGTGCATTTTGTTGGTTATTGATAATTTCCTCCAGCTCTTCATTTTTTGACATAATTTCCTTAAATTTTAAGTTCATATTTTCAATGATAGGCTTTGAAATATCTTCTTGTAAACTTTTTAGTTCTTTTCTTTGTTCCGTTATATCATCCTGCATTTTTTTAGCATGTTTGTTATTTCTTCCATATTGATAAGTGATTTTATTTCTTTGGGTATTATTAAGCGACCTCTTGTGTCAAGTTACTATATTTTTTTATTGATTGTGTTTGATTTAGTTCGGTTTATATTAGTATCTTCAAACTCCGCTAGGTGGGTTTTACTCGTAAGATCTCCTAATTAACAATAGATGGCGCAAGCTTGATAAACTGTTTTTAAATGACTCAACGTATTGTTCGTTTGTTTAATTTGATAGGTTATAATTTTAAAAATACAGTTATTCGATTATTTTCACCATATTTTTTAGTTTATTTGTATTTCATAAGTTTCTTTATAGCGAAATTTTAATGTGGAATTACTTCACTTTGACTATCAAAACATATTTATGGTTATAAAGTTCAAAATTTACACTTACATATTTAAGTCTGAAATTAAAGGTTTTCCTTTTCACACTGATGTTACACTAATATTTGTCTAACTTAAACACTTTTGTATTCACTTAATAACACAAATTTTAACTGGTTTTGATTTAAATAACAAATTTTAAATTCAGTTTAAGTACGGAGCTAATGTGTTTACACCGCACGCAGCGCCCTCCTCTCTTTATCTATACATATAAATATAAACAGACATTTCAATTTTATTTATATGTATAGATAAATAACCATTTTTAAAATGTTTGTCTGTCTGTCTGTTCGGTTTAATCTTCAGAATAGCTACAATGATAGTGATGAAACTTTACGAACAGATGGAGAGCAATACCAGAAAGAATATAGGCGTCCTTTTGTCCAAGAAACTTGAAGATCTTCTTTTTTTTGTCAAAACGAAGAATTGGTAAAATAAATGATCTTTGATTATCTTTAATTTATTTATTTATATGCCACATGATTAGATCGTATAGAGGCGAAGCCGGGGCTGGTCGATAGTTAATTATTAGTTTTTGCTTGAAACAATCAACAGCTACATAGTGAATAAGTTTTTTTTCTTTTTTTGTTGTTGTTGCTGTGGCCCATAGACATCTACATCTATCCCCTATTGCGAATCAAAATGCAGATGCGTTGTCAGCCGTAAGGACTAAAATGGAATGCCTCTTTTCCAGTAAAAAGGGTCTTCGGATCTCTACACTCACCATACATATACGAAACACAGCAGCATTAAGTTGCTATTTTACGCTGGTATTCTGTGAGAGCGTGGTCCTTCCCCGGTCGAGCCGACCCATTCGTGCTACAACTATATAGCTATATAGCTGCAGCATGGCTCTACCACGTATAATTTACAATTTTAGATTAAGTTCTTATTCCGACATGAGGATTTTGAACATTAAAAATGAACCAAATATGCAAATGAACAATTGGAGATTTTTATTTTATCACGAATCAATTATGATTATATTATTATAATAGATAAGGGTTGCTAGCGTACTGTGGAATTTACAGCAAGCGCTTAGTCTCTAAGTTTTTACGGCTCCAAAATAATATACTATAAACCATAAGAGATAAAATTAGATAAACAAGCAGATTAGCTAATATGTATTACTGAACAATAATAACTTCTCATTATCTTAACAATTCATTTTCCGTTCGCGCGATACAAAACAACCGGTTGGTCAAACCACGACGCAGTCAGCTGTTGCCGCTAATTTTGTTCAGTCGTGTTTTGATTGATGAATTAATTGAACGTTAAAATGATTGTAAAAAGTGCAGCTTTAATAACAAGGAAGATTTCGTACTCCCTTAGCTACAGGTGAGTTTACGACCTTTATAATTTCTACCTATTATTTATTTCTAATATGGTCACGCGAGGCAAGTGTGACATAAATTAATTAAAACTACGAGTAGGTATAATGGACATTTACATACTTCTACTCTATAAGGATTTAACATAGAGAATTCAGTTTCACAACATCAATTGTTAAGTGCTTATTTGTTTGCTCAAGCATTTTAGTATCTACAAATAGCATTTGGTAATGTAAGGTAATTAAAACTAATTGAGGTGGAAGACTGTCACACTTACCCCATCAATGAGACAAGTGTGTACGCTTCTTTTCTACCGACTTCAAAAAGGAGACGGTACTCAATTCGACTGTATGTTTTTTTTATGTGTAACTTTTTACTGGGTTAACCGATTTTGATGATTCTTTTTTTATTTGAAAGCTGGTGCTTGTCTTGTAGTCCCATATAAATTTAATTAAAGGTCTGACCAATAGTTTTTGACTTATTCTTAATAATTTACATTGAAGTCGGCTGTACAAAATTTTTAATTTTTAATTATTGTAGTTACTTTATTAATATATGTCGTTTTCGACAAAATTGAAGAGATGATACTAATGTCAAAACATTTTAAGATCTTAAAACGATTTGAACGTCCATTTTTGTGTAACAGTGAGTTTTTAACCACATGGGGAAAGTTTTCTGGGTAGTTTTTAAATAATTTAAAATTAAAAATTTTGCACAGCCGACTTCAATATAAATTACTAAGAATAACTCAAAAACTATTGTTCTGACTTTGATCAAATTCATATGGGACCACATGTTGAAGTACCAGCTTTCAAATAAAAAAAGAATTATCAAAATCGGTTCACCCCGTAAAATGTTATGAGGTAACACACATAAAAAAACATACAGTCGAATTGAGTACCGTCTCCTTTTTGACGTCGGCAGAAAATAGTTGAAGCTCGGTCGGTATAGTCAATAGCGTAAACAGCGTAGCGTTGTTCAATAGATGGAATTAACCAAAATATCGTGCTTATGCCGCATAATTCGCATTGTCACACTTGCCTCGGGTGACCATATTTAACTTATTCAAAGTTTTCAACCTTATTTTTTTCCCTTCTGAGCCGCGTTTACGTGCTGTTTTCTAGAGTCATTACGAATCGTCTCGCGTGGAGACTTGACGACTTCCAGCCTCCCGAACAAGCCGGTTTCCGAAAGGGCTTTAGCACCATAGACCACATACATACCCTTCGGCAAATTGTACAGAAGTCCGAACAGTACAATTTGCCACTATGTCTGGCGTATGTGGACTATGAGAAAGCCTTTGATTCCGTCGAAATTTGGGCGGTGCTGCAGTCCCTTCAGCGGTGCCAAGTTGACTGTCGGTATATCGAGGTGTTGAATTGTTTGTACAGTAGAGCTACGATGGCTATCCAAGTACAGAATCAGAGTACGAAACCTATCCAATTGCAGAGAGGTGTAAGACAGGGTGACGTCATATCCCCGAAATTCTTCACCGCTGCATTGGAAGACGTTTTCAAGCTTCTGGACTGGAAAGGATACGATATCAACATCAATGGCGAATACATCACTCACCTTCGATTTGCCGACGATATAGTCCTTGTGGCAGAATCGCTGGAGGACCTAAGCACTAGGCTCAATGACCTCAATAGTGTTTCCCAACGGATAGGTCTTAAGATGAACATGGACAAAACAAAGATCATGTTTAATGTCCATGTCACACATATGCCGGTAGTTGTTGGGAACACTAAGCTCGAAGTTGTTGACGAGTATGTTTACCTGGGACAAATAGTCCGACTAGGTAAGTCCAACTTCGACCGAGAGGTCAATCGACGGATTCAACTCGGCTGGGCAGCGTTCGGGAAGCTACGACACATCTTCTCGTCAGACATACCTCAAAACCTTAAAACGAAATTGTACAACCAGTGCGTGTTGCCAGTGATGACTTACGGAACTGAGACGAAGTCCTTCACTGCTGGCCGTATGAGAAAGCTCAAGGTCACTCAGCGAGCTATGGAGAGGGCTATGCTCGGAGTTTCTCTGCGTGATAAACTTAGGAATGAGGATATCCGCAGTAGAACCAGAGTAACCGACATAGCCCAACGGATTAGTAAGCTGAAGTGGCAGTGGGCCGGCCATATAGCTCGAAGAACCGACAACCGATGGGGAAGAAAGGTTCTCGAGTGGCGGCCTCGTACCGGTAGGCGAATTGTAGGGCGTCCCCCCACGAGATGGAGTGACGACCTGGTAAGACATGCAGGAAGTCGATGGATGCAGGTGGCTCAGGACCGTGCTTTGTGGCATTCCTTGGGGGAGGCCTATGTTCAGCAGCTTCTTGTGAAGGGCTGTAATGATGATGATGATGAACCTTATTTTTTATCATATCGTTATTTGGTTGTAAAATTTAAGTCATATTTTCTTAGCTGTTGACCTTGTCATTTACAAATATATAAAGTTGATGCCTTGAGTGTTTGTGTTGGAAGTCATTTTAAAGTTCAATATTTCTGAAACTAACATATTTTAAGTTTTCAATACATTATATACCGAACTTAAAAATGTAATTAACGAATATCTATAGAGTAGACTAACATGGGTAAGCATCTAATATTTACACGTAAAGATGCGGCACTTGCGTAATTACGACAATATTCCGATAAAAAGTCGACCTTGTTGGAATGGGTCAAGTGTCACCGATTTTATTGATTACAAAATTATTATCCTATTATAAAATGTGAAATATTTATTAATTATTTACGTAGTAGATATCTAAAATATACAATTATAACCCAATATGTAATTAACATTCCGCAAAAATGTCATGAAAATGTACTACATCTTATACAAAAACTTTACGACACCGTGAATGTAAATCTGGATACAAACAGCGTCTGTGCTTTTTTTTTTTTTTTATAGGATAAGGGTGACAAACGAGCACACAGTCCACCTGATGGTAAGTGGTTGCTGCGGCCCATAGATATCTACATCTATCCTCTGTTACAAATCAAAGTGTAGATGCGTTGTCACCCGTGAGGACTAAGATGGAATGCCTCATTCCCAGTAAAAAGGGCCTCCGGCCACCTGCACTCACCAAGCGAAACGCAGAGGTAAACCTCTACTTCACGCTGGTTTTCTGTGAGGTCGTGGTACTACCCCGGTTCGAGCCGGCCCATCCGTGCGACAGCAAAAGCTGCCGCGTGGCTCTACCACTGTTAAAACTGCTGTCCGTAGAATTGTTAAAATTAATCCAAAGTCCGACAGATCACGAAATATTCTCCTTACTCTACAAACGGAGCGGCAGAGTGACATTTTGCTATCTGCAGTAAAACGTTACAACAAGGCTAACCGCCCCAATCAGTTAAATTCTACTTGTATTAGGATTGAAGGAAAATTTCGTGCATATATGTAACTTAACATCTCTCTTCTACTACTAAAAAACTTTATGTTGAAGCAAGGAAGTTCGCGAAAGAAAACTCATACAAATATGTTTGGGTTAAATATGAACGTGTGTAGGTACATGCGGAAAAATTACAACGAATCAGCATTATTGATTAGAGACTTTAGTAACTTGAGAAACTTAAAGTAAAGTGAGATTGTTTTAGATTGTATGAGTGAAAATTTATAGTAACTCAATTGGCTGATACATTTACTTCGATTCATAACAACGTTCCTACCTCAAAGTACACTACCAAAATGTAAATCGTATTAGATAAAAGACAACAGACTTATGTTTAAACATACTAAATTGCAATTACTATTGTATTTGTTTAGTTGAAATAAACCTAAATCATACTGTGTTTGATAATGAGTTGTTCGATTGTCGTTACATTGTATACCGGAGAAACCGTGAGTCTACTTGTATTGCCAAATCTGAAGGTGGTGGTGTACTGAAAGCCATTAAAAAGGAGGTTAAAGTTAAACGCCATAAAGAATGGGAAAGTGACATTAAAGAATTGTGGATATCAGTTTTGCTCGATACTCAATGAAGTCCGTCATTAACCTATGTCTCTGTCACCTTCCTCCTGATTTACCCTCTAATAAACTTAAATACTTTTACGAGAACTTACATAGACATTTAAGTACAATATCATCAAATGACACTAACATAGTATTGGGAGATTTTAATGTGCCAAGTTTATTATGGTCAGTTAATCTAAATGGTAATAATCCTTACTTTACTCCAAGCTATTCCTCAAACTCTACGGCTATATTATTATGTAATTACATTTCTTTATGCAATTTACATCAGATGAATCATTTAATTATATGAATTAGATCGCACTTTAGACCTTGTTTTGTCGATATTTTAATATCTGAAACTAGTCCATTATAACGTATCGTTAAATATCATCATAGAATCACCCTCCACTTGAAATATCGATTAATAGACTATCAAAGCATATCAAACCTAACTATAATAACCATTTTAATTTTGATAAAGATAACTACGATGCTATACGTAAAGAAATCAAGGGTGTAGATTGGGGGACTCTCCTTTCAGACCACTAAGTTGACTTGGCGGTAGATTCTTTTTACTCAGTAATTAGCGATATTATTCTTAAATATGTTCCTTTAAAAAAAAGCCTCAACTCACCCAATTTTGTTCTCAGCAGCGCTAAAATGTGCCTTATAGAAAAGAAAACATTCCATAAAAAGTATAAAATGTATAGTAATCCTCGAGATTACGATACATTTTCAATTCTGCATGCTAGATCCAAGTCTCTGTTGGAGGAATGTTATTCTGCCTTTGTTACCGTAACTGTAGACACTATCAAAACGAATACCGAAGCTTTTTGGAGTTTTGTTAATAACAGAAAAGCTAAAGGTACTCCAAGAAAAATGACGCTTAGTAATGCCAAAGCTTCAGACGGAGCACGTCTTTGCGATTTATTATCGCATTACTTTAGTTCAGTATTCGAAGATTCTACCAAGTCATTACTACCAATACTCCAAATGTGTGAAAATGTGCTATCAGAGTTCACTGCATCAGAACATGATGTGACTCTTAAATTA